AACCGCTGCATTTCTTTTCCCCTCCCGCTCTAGAAGATAAGCAAGCACAAAAGCCACGCATCAGCATCTTACTAATGTTACCTTTACAGTCATACAGTAAAGGTAAAATCTGGTAACGTTTCACCTAGTTAAAAATTCCACAAGCAGATATGGACAATGACTGAACTTGACTCAAACTGCCTCACTTGATGTCCATCACTCTAGAAAAAGGAACGTGAAAGACCATTAATGATATATGAAGACAACGCACAAGTTTGCTCCAAGTAGCGAGACAAACCTAAACACACACCCCCGCCCCGTCCAGCTTCGCTTTTCTTTCTCCTCAGGGTGCCTTTGCTTATTCTTGAATTGACACCTGAACTTTTATTTACTCCTTTATTTTTTAAAGCAAGCGGACTTTAAATAGAGTTCTACTGCACGTTGCAGACAGGAGTTGCTACACACTGACACTTTCAGGCTGACAACTTCAGCCTTTAATTAAAATATTTGCAAATTTACAAGTACTACCCTCTCGTACATCAAGCTGGTTCTCGGGACAAGCATAAACTGCCTGATAGCGGTGTGTTTCTTACTGTGATCACACACCTACTCAGCCGGACACAGCCTTTAAGATTTTTCCCTATTAAGCAGGTAAACTCTTAAAATTCATCAATTCACTAGGATTCAAACCAATCCCACTTCCTGATTTATCTCGGACTCCATGAGGAACTCTGAGACTTAACAGGTCTGTGTAGCTTTATTCTCTATGTACGTCCTTCTTTGGTGTAGTCACTTCACTATCTTATAACTAAATGATGAGGGGCAGACAAACACATCCCCATTTAGAAGCTAGTAATTGGTAAATGATGAATAAAGTCCGTTTTCCATCATTTTTAATGTGCTAAAAGAAGTTAATAGATTTTGGCTTGTTTTAAGGAGCATAAAAATAGTGAAGTTATGTTCTAAACCTGCTCAAGAATCTCCCTCTCTCTCTCATGGAAAGCAAACTCCATAATCGAGCTGCCTTAGGAGTTCGTATCGGACAAGCACCCGATGGTCTGGTTAGCCAGCCATGCCAAGCCTTCTACTGACACCTGCCAACCTCTCGTTGCTAAAATAAAATACAAATATAACCAGAAGTCAGATGGGACCAATGCTGTAACTGACATTTTTCTCAGCAGAGGGGGACATCGCCATGTCCTACCTTAGAAGGTCTGGATTCTACACTGCATGCCCAGAAATCTGGCCAACAGTGGAGTGTCTGTGCTCCTCCCTCACTTGTCTGAGGACAGTGCAGGCCGATTATCCTGACATGGGGGTAGTACATGTCCACTGTCAGGTCTCATAGGGGCCTGGCAGCAAGAGTAACAAAAAAGACTGCAATAGAAGTTTTGAAGTTGATAGCCACATGCCAGATACTTTCTGCCCTTAAAGATGCTTTTTTCTTCCTTTTTGCGTCAACTGTAACAAAAGAAGCAAGAATAAAATAAGCAAGTTGCTTTATGGAATACAAGGGCAATCAAAAACCACCACAAAGGCATCGCAGAGAAATGCCACTGCAAGTACAGAAGATGAAATATCTGCCAGTGGTGGAAACTGTCTCTTTAAAATGAACTAGTGGTTTCCAGGCCCTTTTTGACTTGTCTCCTGGTGATAATCAATCTTCCAGATGGTTTCTCATTGCCTAATGGTGTACATGAGAAAGTAAACATTTCAGATTATTGAAAAAATCAAGTATCATTGCAAAACTACTCTCTTTCAGCTAAATGCTTCAGGTGAAACACTCTGAAAACATAAAACTAACAAGACTTCTCAAAGTGAAATTGAGAGCAAATAAGGGAAATGTCTAGCTACATCACCCGAGAGCAGCTTTGTGGCAAACAGACCAACAGTACTCAAAAGCACACGCTCAGAGACATCCATATCTCAATTACATGACAACATAAAAAGAGGGCTACGTACCATAAATAAAGCAGGTGTACGAGTTAGAGCCAGACTACAGCACAAGAGGCAGAACAGCTTCCTTCAAATTCCTCCCCATCACTCAAGTTTTTCCACCCCACTAGTGAATAAACTCAAACTGACACTGGCAATGGTCAAAATCAAACAGTTCAATAGAGATGCCTTAATCACCACCTTTATATGGATAATAAGGATTAAACGCTGTTTGAAATGAGTTATTTTATCTTAACCAGATCTCTACAGATATTGGTACATCAAACAACCTACTCACATTTGATGTTTTATATATTCTTTGAGAAGCGCTTCGTCCACGGAATACATCTGCACTCCCGTTCCATCACCGTAGTAATACATCACACTGGCATTAAGCTCAGGTTGAAATACTTGGTCAGTCCCTTCACCGTACAGTTCTTGATAACCAACTGAATATTCAAAATTCACTTCAAAATAAAGGAGAACATACAAGAAAGACGATGAAACATAGTAAGCCCAGCACACAAGTGTTTCAAGGCATGACACACACTGCTATTTCACTGTTGCTTTTCAGCACGATTTTAAAAAGACTCAAGCTACTTAATTCTATGAAGTTACGGGATGTTTTTTGAGACAACTCTTACTTCACGTGCAAACAATAATATTATAAACACAGGTTTAAAGTTTTTGCTAAGCGTCTACTTCTCGGCGTACTTCTAGGGTTTCCTCTGCCTCGTCCTCTTCCTCTGCCTCTACCTCTTCCTCTGCCTCTGGAGAGTCCTCGAACGCTGCCACCCTCACTTCTCACGCTGCACACTTCATCGTGATCCTCTCTCTTTTCTCTATCGCGACGCCAATCTTGAAGAGAAAAAAGCAGAACACTTCCAATCACAAATAAACATCACCGTGCCCAAAAGTCCCTGGTAACAGAGCTCCCGGCTTGCGCCCAGGCCATCCACGGCCTCAGGCGTGCTGGCTGAAACTGCTCAGATCTCAAAGCTCCAAGGGTGATACCGGAAGGTTTGCCCAGCCAGGCCCAAGAGAGAGCCAAGCAGGAGCTGTTCGCCATAAAGAAGGGTAAAGGGGCTCGACTGGCAGTCAATCCCAAATGCTTCCGAAGCAACTGGACACGCTGGTGTCAGCTCAGGGATCGCAATACCTGTGAGCGGCTTGGGACAGCAAGGAACGATTGGGCAATTCTCCTTCCAGGCATGATGATACCATCTCCTCCGTGGACAACTCCCAGTACCTGGAGAGAGCTAGAAAGAGCTGCCAGCTCTTGAGGATCCTCCTCTGGGTAGGATTTCAGGAATGGCTCTCTGGAGCCTCCCTTTTCTTCCCAGAAGCAGTCACCGACCACTCCCCTGGCTGCCCATTTAACAGCGATCGGTTCTGCTGGTCCTGCCCCAAACTGAGCTTTCACGTGAAGGACGTCTTTTTGGTAACACGTGCAAATCTAAGATGACTTTTTAAGAATCTATGTAAGGTTTTCATATAAATAGGGGGGCAGAGCGCGGGGCAGAGCGCGGGGCAGAGCGCGGGGCAGAGCGCAGAAGCAAGCAGGTCCAAACCAGACCCAGGGACCTTGGCTTCACTGGGCACAAAACTGAAAGACAGGTCTAATTCTCACTTCACTCACGAGAAAATACAAATCCCTCTCTCGCTCAGTCTCCCACACCATTTCTTTCTCTTTTCCTAACACTCTCAGAGACTTCCATCTTCAGTCAGGCACCCTTGCTTACCGGCTTATTTAAGCTGTAACTGGATAGTCTGGCAGATGCCAGGGGATACAGCCTGTTTGATCGAACTGAGAGCTGCTAAATTTAACAAAGGGCTGACTAAAGGTATGATTCTTTGTCATTATCAGAAATCCGCTTCTAACAGCAACTATTTTTAATGATCCCTATTACAAAATCTGTGTGCTCGTACATTCGAGTTCCTATTCCATTTTTTCTGCCAAATAAGACGCTGAATTTATGAATATCATAATCTTAGCCTTTGCACTCGCTACCCTCAACCTCAGAGGTCCCAAATGCACAGGCTATTTCCCCAAATCAGTTTCATTTTCGCACTCAGACAGCACATGTGACTCTTAGACACAGGCAGAAGTCCTACATATAACATCGCCACAACCTAGTGTTGTATTTAAGCCCGAAACAAGTATTTTATTTCAACAGCCAATGCTCCTGAAGAGCAGATGTTTCATGTCCTCTCACACTGAAAGTGGTCTTGAATCACTAGAGCCTTGACGTAGACTTCACACTACAAGTTTCTGGTCATTTGACCATCCTGAGGAATAACTGCTGAAGAAAGTGATGCACTAGTGAAATACCCTCCCTCTGCCCCTGTCCATCCCTCAGACATCCAGATCAAAACCCTACATCCACGTTCCTCAAATGACTTCATAAACAAATCCCATCTCACTAGTGTCCAGCACTTATTATAACGAGCAAACATTTAAATTGTTAATAATATTGCAATTTTAAAACTTAAATGCAAATACATAAACCAAAGAGATACATTCAGCCTAAGATTCCTGCCATCTGACAAGCTGTCTTCAGGACACCCGAGCACCAGAAGCACTACCTCTGGTGCTAGTACAACTTTTTGCATGGCCATGCTGAGAAATAGGTCACGGAACTGAGGGAATTGGTCCAACTTAAAGCAGGGGGGGAGAAAAAAAAAAAACAACAACCCACACCACCCAAAAACCCCCCCAAAAAAATCAGCAGAATCATGCTGAGAAATAGGTCACGGAACTGAGGGAACTGGTCCAACTTAAAGCGGGGGGGAGAAAAAAAAAACAACCCACACCACCCAAAACCCCCCCCAAAAAAATCAGCAGAATTGCCAAAGCAGAGTTCAAAGCGTAGGTTCACAAGCAAATGCTCTGGTAGCAACAAGCTGCGGGAACAGCAGTAAAGCAGGACAGAGCAGGCACCTGATGAGATTACTTCCAAGCTTTCTGCAAGGTAAAGCTGTGGCCCAAGACTCTGAAGGGATCCATGAAGAGAACAATAATATGCTGCTCTGGTTCAGAGCACCAGCACGTGCTATAAAGATAGACTGTGTCCAGTTACTCGGCAGAGTCAGTGACTGACACATTAAACTCTGATTTATTTGTGAAGAGGTTAAAAAAAACCCCACATCTGAGAGTAAGCGCTTGAACAGAAATTTCGAATTTAAAGCTTGTTAAACTATAGTACAATTTACTCATTATTTCCTGGTTACTGGCAAACATTAACACTAGGTTTTACTTCGTATAAGCAAAGTCAAGTTCCAATATAAACAACCTAATGCCTACTCACGTGGTATTATACTTTACTTGCCACAAATAGAAAGACCCGGAGGTTGAGAACTACTTACTTCTTGTCTCGTTCCGTCTGTTGTTATGAGGTATTAACTTGTTTGTTTCCAGCAGAAATCTTGAGCTATTTCTAGAGCCTGGTCTTTCTTGACTGTCTGACCTCACGTCGTCCAAGTGAAGCGGCACCCATTTCTGCTTGTTACCTTGAAAATTTAATATATTACTCTTCACTATAGTACTACTTGAGGTTCCAGCTCCTGAAAAGACTATATGGAATTCTTCTTGTAGAACTAGTAACAGTTCATTTCAAAGTTTAAAATCTGGGAGAAGCTTAACGTTGAAATTTTAAGATATGATAAATGACCAAGCAATAATAAATGCGGTAAACAGGAATTTCTCACACTGAAAGGTAACCTTACATAAGCTTTAAATATATGAAATGAAGGTGAGCTCTTTTTATTTAATGAATTTTTAGATGTAAACTCCATTACCAAGAATTTATAGCTACATAAGTGTTTTTTATATATATATATATATATACATACATACAGTGAATTCATTACTATATAATTTCACAACTTGCATCTATTTAATGACAGTATTTGCTGTTCTATACTCGACTGGTATCGTGGGCTTCACACCTTCATAGCCAAGAAACACGAGCAAGTACATAAAACGCACTATTCACACTGAGGGGGGCGGGGGGGGAAGGTTGTACGCGCGGAATGTTTTGCTTTAGATTTCCACTTAGACTGAAAAAGTTAAAAGCGATAAAGAATTTAAGTATATACGTAGGAAGATTAACAAATCTAAACAGCAAAGGCCTTTAGAATCTGAAGAAATACCAGCAGGGAAGCAAGGAAAAAAAAAAAAGCAGCTGATGGCAGCAGTATCTTAGAACTCACTCTGCTGTTTCTCCAGCCTACTGACCAAGAGAGATACAGGTTTGCTTCCTATTTTTAATGTAACAGACTGGATCGAAAGGAGATTAATAACCCGGTTTAGTTTTCAAGTGATCGCTTCAAGGTGTAAGCAAACAGTAAAAGATGAAAACTAAAGTGTTAGCATATACAGCCACACACACACGCCTACGAAGTTAAATTAACACAGTGCGATCTATTTAGGGAAATAAAGAGATCAGAGACAGTAATGGCTTGTACAGCCATGCCAAAATTTTCCAGAAATTGTCAGAGCTCCACAGAGCATCAGTAGGACACGAGCTGCTTTTTCCCCAGAATTCCTACTTGACTGAACAGAACACTCCAACACCTGAGAAAGGAAGCCTGTTTTAAGCTTCCTAGCAGAAAGCAATGTATCCTGTTATCACCCAGCAAATGCAAAACATAAAAAGTTTCATCAAGTCATCCCACTGGAGTTAACATAACTGTATCAAAGATGACTTAGTGCATTACACGCAGTGCCCAGACTGACCTTTTTTCCTTTGGTTATTAGTTTGAGCTTCATCTTCGCTAGTGTTATCTCCGGGGCCATCTGGCTTTGCCTCTGGGTTGTCCTTGATTCCATTATTGCTTTTTTGATCAGATTTCTCCTCCTTTTCTCTTCTATTTGTTGGCTTCTTACTGTGACTTACAGTTTTACACTGCAAGAGATACTGGTAATTATTTCTGACAGCACAGCTGCTCATAGCAAACCGTAAAAATTTCCTTTACCTATTAAAATTCCTTTTATTATTACCTGTTCTCAACCTCTTCAGTAGGGTGACTTTTAAGAGCCGCGTTGTTTTGTAAAGTCTCATTTTAAATAGTTCTATTTTCTGCTAACTTGGCAAGACTACATAAAGAATTTTTAGACTAAGGAACTTTTTGTTTCTTTTTCAACTGAAGACTTAAAACCGCAGAGCGCACAACAATCATGTTTCAGTACCTCAGAACTGAATTTTATAGGGAAAAAATTACTCACCAGTACCTACTGTCCAGAGTGATTATCTTTAAAAAGCTGTGCTTACAGAATACTGAATGGAAAATCAGAAATTCCCATGATGCTGTAGAATCTCAACAGCATGCCAAACATTCAAGTCAACTACAAGGAGCCATAGGTCTTAACTCTGACAATTCTGTTCTGCTAAATCAGAACACGAACCAAAGATCAGAGGATGTGGAGGTGTATGATTGCAGATTTATTTTTTCCCACATTAGAATATGGCATTTACTGGGAACTGTGTGCCTTTGAGTAGTGCCAGCATCCTGCAGATCATCACTTCTTGGAAATCCCACAGAATAACAGGTTTCAAAGAGGGCAAAATAAATGTCATTTTAGTGACTAGTGAGAAGTTTAATTTTTCTGTGGTATCAGTACAGGCTGGGGGACGAAGGGATTGAGAGCAGCCCTGTGCTGAAGGACTTGGGGATGTGGGTGGATGAAAAGCTGACATGACCCAGCAGTGTGCGTTCACAGCCCAGAAGGCCAACCGTACCCTGGGCTGCCTCACCAGCAGCATGGCCAGCAGGTCGAGGGAGGGGATTCTGTCCCTCTACTCCACTCTGGTGAGATCCCACCTGCAGTGCTGCAGCCAGCTCTGGGGCCCTCAGCACAAGAAAGTTATGGAGCTGCTTGAGTGGGTCCAGAAGAGGGCCACCAAGGTGCTCAGGGGGCTGGAACATCTCCCCAGCGAGGACAGGCCGAGAGAGTTGGGGTTGTTCGGCCTGGAGAAGAGGAGGCTCTGGGTAGACCTTAGAGCGGCCTTCCAGTACCTAAAGGGAGCTGCCGGGAAGGTGGGGGCATGGTAAGGAGCAAAAAAGTTCTAAAACTAGAAGAGGGCAGATTCAGACTAGATATATAGACAAATTTTTTTACCATGAGGGTGGTGAAACACTGGCACAGGCTGCCCAGAGAGGTGGTGGATGCCCCATCCCTGGACACATCCGAAGTCAGGTTGGACGGGGCTCTGAGCAACCTGATCTGGCTAAAGAAGTCCCTGCTCACTGCAGGGGGGTTGGACAAGGTGACCTTTCAATTAAGGTCCCTTCCAGCCCAAACCTTTCTACGTCGGATACAGTATCTACCTACAAAATTAAGCTTGGCAGACATTTCTGCCAAACACAGAGTACTCCTGTGCTGGGGAAATGGCTTTGAACCTGCTGGAGCACATACAGTAGATACTGCAGTACTGCACCATGGTTAATCTGAACACAAAGCCTTCCCCTAGACAAATCCATTGAGACTTTACATACAAACTAAATGTTACTTGGTTTAACAGACACAACATGAATTTGTGTACTAAAATTGCCACATACATAAGTCAGCAAAAGGTCAATTCACATCTATGCAATATAATGTAGACCATTTGGTTAAAAAAAAAAATCTTTTAAAAAATACTCTTAATTTCAGACAGAAAACATCAGATACGTATATTCTCATGAAACACTATACATGTACCAGCCATTCTGATTCAGACTGGACAGACATCATTAATCATATCAAAACTTGACGTGATAACCAAGCAGATGCTGAAGACCTGCAGCACTAAAGAGAATGCAAGAGATATGGATGCACGTTTTCTTAAGTCACTAAAATCACTATTTCCACAAAAAAGAAAAAAAAAAAAAAGAGAGGTGCTAAAATAAGCATACCCTAGACTCAGTCACAAATCAACATTAGCATTTACAAACACTATTAAAGGATATAAAATGTAATCCTTTCAATGCTATTCAATCTCTCAGATGGAAGCTCAGCAGACCCTCTCCTCAGTGCCAGAACATGATAGAAAATACCATTATTTTCTGGACACAGCTAGAGTTTCTCTGCGCTGTATCTCTTGTGTTAAAACGGATCTCTCTGAAAAGTGACAAGCAAAAAGTGTTGCATAGTGGAACTGACCACACAATCCTCAAGACCAGCATTTTTGAGTTGTTGAGACTGCAGTGAACAAAGAGGCTGTGCCTCTGAGGTACAAAAAGCACAGGTGACGTTATTTCTAATCTTATGAGTAACTCAGGAAGGAGTCTGATGCCCAGCTGACTTGCACACCTCCAATGCCACCAGATAAACCAGCAGCTCTAGGATGCAAGTCGTGCACCCTTCATGATAGCGACAGATATCTCACCACTGTCTCCTCCTGAGGCGACGGGCTCTTCTGCTCACAACAGCTCAGCAACTGACAGGAATACTGATGACGGAGCAGCTTACAAATACTTTTAAAAAAAGAAGTCAAATCAAGGATCTTGTACAGATCCTAAACCTCAATGGGATGTCCGCACACACCAAACTATTCTAACTGGTGGCTGAGCAGCTGAACGAGCATTACTTTATTGGCACATAATCTATTCAGGTTTTAAAGATTCTTCTAGCAATTCCAAAGATTTTCTTTGAGATCCCGTAGAACAAGCTACTAGAGGAGGCAAACTTTACCTAGCAGTAACCGTAACGTTGTGTCAAATCTGCAGACATCTATAATTTTGACCTGCGATGCTAAAAGCCTAGTGAGACACCTGAAAATGTTTTGGTGCTGACCTAAACAACAAAGTGATGACAATCAGTTGTGGGGAGGGAGGGAGAGCGTTAGAAACCGAGCCCGCAAGACACATGATTCGTGCCAAACTACCTTAACACACCCTTCTCCAGTTTTCAATTTGGACACTTTCAATTATACAATGCACATTGTTGAACCCCAATCTTCTGGTTTCCCTCACCGAGGAAACAGTAAAAGCATCACAGGGGTGCTGCAGAAGGAAAGCAGAGAGTGAAACGACACCTCACAGCTTGCAATAATCTGTGATCTGTTCTGGTTTTAGATAACACAAGAGAGGTGTAAGATGTATTATGCACTTAGCACTTGAGGTGAAGCGAAAGGAAGGTAATTTGACAGAACAAATGTCAACTAAAGATCCAGCAAGGGGGAAATGTATCAGAGGAATACAGCAAGGATCACTAAGTTGTCCTAAGAGGACCTGCACAAAGCATTCTGAGCCACAAGGGAGGGCAGCACGTTCACAACCCCAAAGCCCTTCTCATCTGTGCATGAACTTCCCAACCAGTAGAAAAGGTTTGTAAACAACAAGTAAATACAGCACATTTTTACCTACACATCACGGCATACCGCTAACGATAAACGGAGTGTGGGGGGGAGCTCGTGAAGGGTTCACAAATTCCAGTACCAGTGCAGGCAGTTAAGCACAGACCAGTATCCTGAATTATTGACAAAATTTCTGCTGAAATCCTACAACACCCAGAGAGCACGCTGGGGGGGACGGTATTAACCAAAGAAGACAATAAGTTTTCTAAAAAAATAATACTGAAGGTAACAAAGGATACTTACTTCACTGTTCGCTATTTCGCTTGGTGTTGGCCAGCTTGTGATATCACCAAAATCACCAGCCTGCAAAGACGACAAACAGTTTACATACTTCCTAGATTTAGTCCTTTTTAACACACAAAGCTGTCAGTCGTAACTTGCACAGCCCGACTAACCCTTTGAGCAGAACTGTTAGAGGCAGCAATTTCTAAAAAATGAGAAATACAACAGAAAACAAACACATGACTTTTGAAAACAGAATATTAGCAATCGTAGAAACAACATTTCAGGTCAAGAAGCCCTTTGAGCACATGTACTATTCAACCTAAAAAGGGGTGGCTGGCTGTACAAAATTTTAGAAACTTCATTTTTCAGGAACAGGATTCAGTGTCTCCTGTTGCCATAATGATGACTTTATAACAGCACACAAAGCACACACGTCACATAACACGCAAAAAGGATTTCCAAAACGCATCTAGCATCACTGAAGCTCAAGTGATGTTGCTTCTTTGCAGCCCCTTCACATTTTTATATAATGCCATTGCTTTTTTAAACAAAAGTGCCTTTTCTTATCCCTCATCCATACACCACTTTAGCATTCCTTCTAATTTGAAACTTCCTTTCCTTTTTCACTTTTCTCTGTCTTCAAAACTAACCAAGGCAGAACAGAACACTTCCAGCTGTAACTTCAAAATACCTTGCTACTTTTTTATTTTAGTAACATCACCTATTTACCATACTGAATATTTACAGCCAGAAATACTCCTTTGAAATTGCTTCACTTTCCTACCACATTATCAGCCAAGCTAAATACCAGTTTAGATTAACAGGTGAGATTAACTGGGACTTCTAACACAATCAGTAGCTAGGCGTCCTGCTGGTAAATACAAACCTTGCTGCATTTCCTTGTCCTGGGTTTTGCTGCTTTTACAACTGTAGTGGAATTCTGTAGTTCTGAAAGGGAAGAAAAATATTCTCAGGTGAAGAATTAGACCACGCTTTAAAAGAGTAAGAAAGGTGTACTTTAACAACTCTGGTTAACTATCTAGCATACTACCCCAATGGGTTTTTTGAGGCCTTGGTATGAAAGTCAATGAACGTGACACTGAGAAAACTCACATTCATAATAAGTGTAAATAGTCTTGAAAACCAGGTGTACAGGATACTTTATAACACAGCATTTAAGCATTTGCTCAGCTATAAGGTCAAGATATTTGCTCAGCTATAAGGTCAAGATATTTGCTCAGCTATAAGGTCAAGATTACCTCCAAATGCTGGCATTTTAACCTAACAAGTAGCAAAGAAAATGAGCCCCTGAAACACATGAAAAAAATTATCCTATTAGAAGCTGTAAGACAGGATGAATTTACAAAATCTATCATTATGCAAGCATGAAAAAAACACAGAAGAAACTACATATTCACAAATTCCTAGTAATCTCCCTTTATAAGCAATTACTCAAATGTCAAATAAAATGTAGCCATATTGCTCTCAATCAAGCCAAAGCAATGAAAAAAATTAAAAGGAAAGGTGAAGAGAAAAAATTACTTCAAAAACTCCATGAGGACTAACAAATTTTAATGCCTAAATTCCACTACGGATATGTTTATGATAAATATGAGCATTTGCAACAAAGCTGACACTCATACATTTTCAGAACCATCCTGAGTCAAGACCTAAACTTATAATAATGATCCTGTCTGATCTCCTGAGCAAGAGGCCGTTATACTTCTACCAGCAATAATATGCACTAATATAATGCTTGGAAATAACTTTCCTCTTTATGGCAACATTATGGGGCTTAACTATCTAGGATCAATAACCTACACTGAAAAAAAGAAAAGTCTAAACTTACTATGTCTTTTAATGCAATTACCCTTCTGCATATGAATCCGAATTCTTACCCTGTGCAATTTTTCCCTACCCATCTCAATTGTGTTAGCGGATTATTATTGCATACAGGGATAACATCACCTCCTCAACCCTTATCTCTCTCACATCCAGTGACTAATCTTCCTTATCACAGCTTCACACTGGGAACCCCACCCTCGTGCCCCAGTGACTCTGAAAACCCTCTGTCTGCTTCCTGGAACATACTGTGAACATTAGAAGCATAAACTAATCTACACTCCGTATTTCACCGTAAATAATGTTAATACTGCTATATACAACTCGCACGTCACACAAGGCATATGAATTCAGCAAAGCCTGATCAGCCTGTGGCCTTTGCCACACCATTTCCCAACAGGTTTTTCTCCTCTCCTGCAGATCTGCTTTTTAAAAACAAAGACAAAACACACACCACTACCCCCTAAACTGCCTCTTTCTTGTTATTCGGCCTCAATTAACTTTAGACTGAAAGCTTTCAGAAACACGCAGTGACTGTGTAATCCTCATTTTCTCTTGTCATTCAATAGTAAACTAATTGCCCTTTACAAAACAAGACAAACTGCTGTAGAGGTGGAGTACCAAACAAATTTGTAATTTTCGCCAACAAAACTGCCAATTACCCGTAAAGGTAAACGGACTGGCCATAGAGTTTGTCCTCCAGTAGCCTGTAAACACAGATCTCTCCCTAGCTGTTCAATTACCTTACTGAAGCCCTTTTTCCATCTCACAGCACTTTTACTTAAATTGCTGCTGAAGGACTGCTACGCCAGAACTTCTACTCTGTGTGTCACCAGGGCGTAGCAAGGGATTCAGAAATAAAAGACTCCATGTCGCTGCGCTATCTTAGTCATGGGATATTATTCCAGGCAGCAGGAGAGGCTATCTGAATGGGGTAGAATGAGACCCAACTCGTTTGAAGCAATCTCTCTTATCCGTATGTAGTAATCCAAGACTTGGAAGGTGCATTTGCACACTACATGAGAAGAAAATTAGTATTAGGCAACCGACCGTCTAGTCGACGCTACCCTTTCTGAACTCAAAGGCCCAAGATCTCACCACGCTCCGTGCTTCCCTACCCAAAAACAATTCCACAGAGTTCCTTCTCGCCCCCCCAAAAGAGCTATGCTCAAAACCAAATTTAACTGATCTTTCCTGACTGGCTTTTAAGGGCTTATTGTGTGGGAGTTGGATTTTAGTGTGAAGCATGAAAGGGAAGATAAAGGGGAAGGAAAAAAACCAAACAAAGGAGGATGGGAGAGTAAAAGAACAAAACATCAGATCACTTAAAAGTTTTACCCAGGTCACATCGGTTATGAACAGGCTTAGAGCCACTGCTCAGGCAAAACTGCCTCTAGAGTGCCTTTAGACAAAAGCTCGGTACTTAACATTACCCCGGTGTTTGCTTTCGACATCACGTAACAGCGCTGAATACCCAGAAATGGCATCTTTGGTGCACTGCTCCAGCAGAAGCCAACAAGCCCTTGCAAATAAGCTTATTTCCCTTCCTGTTCATCCCAACCTAACCGTATTAAAGCGGTTCATTACTGTACCAAAACGGTTTGTTACTCAGTCACACGCTACAAGGTAACCTGTTCAGTAACAGCACGCTGGGTCGATAAAAGAACTCAGCTAGCTTCAATTGCTGGCTGGGTTTCAGCTGAGTTTTGAAGGGGTGGGGGAAAAAAGCCAAAATCAAGGACGAGGAAGTTTAAGTGCCAGTGATCATCTTTCAATCGCTGAACTCCATCCAATGAAGATGCCATCCACGCGAAAACAGAAATCAGCCTTCAAAGCCATTCTCATTACGGCTCTTCCACGTCTCTCCATACACTGCCTCCTACCACGAAGTATTTCCTGCAGAAAGACACGGATGGGCAAACACGCCGAGTGCGGTACGTCAAGGTACACGGGATGACAGTGCAGCAGAATCGAAGATGAATTTCTGAACCATCAAAACAGCGGCAAATCCTCCGGGACAGCGGCAACAGAAAAGGAAAAGCAGACTGGATGCTGTGCAGAGATAACAGAAGCAAAGTTTGGACATAAAGACGTATCAGCCAAGTACCACTGATGACGAGTTATGTTTCCAGTAGTAATACTTCAGAATGGATGGTTTAAAGTTCTGCAAATCACTAGTCAGCAAGTCATTTTTTTCTGCTAGAAGGGGAGAGATGATATTGCCAATTTCTTCTGAAAGCAACATCTGTTAATAAAAGGTGGAACACGTTCTAATTTTGATACAAACGTGGTTCGTGCTGTAAGGATTTCTAGACGATACTCAAGGTTTATTTCCACTTGGACTGCACACGTATTTCCCTCAGTGAAGGAACATAGTCACATAAATACCAAAAGTGCTTCAGGAGGCGCCTGAAATCACCCAGCAGAAGAGCTCTTCAAAACTTCAGTGGAACATGTTTGTTGAACTTGTATAACATTTTCTTTTCAACGCTCAGTTTGAAACCTCCCAGTATAATCCACTTTTAAAGGCGGCAAGCTATACTTAAATCTATTGTTTTAACAGATAACTGTGAAAGTCTTGCAAATGTGACAAAACAATCCCTCGGAGCATATCATCATTTAAATCTAGAGCATGGATTTAGATCCAAGATTCTGGGAAATAAAAATCCCCAGTAATTATGCTAACATCCTTTCCTACAACAGTTCTAGCATTTCACAGCAAAGCCGCATTAGATTGACCTTCTTCACACTATCTGAACAACCAAGCCAGTGAGTTATGACACCTCCATCCTTCCACCTATTTACATTCAATACCAGTCAGTTTTTTCAATACAACAAGCAATGGGGAAAAAAAATCCCCCATACCCTATTGATTAATCATGACACTATTTATTTTCCTTGCATTTAATTTCTCATCTCATTTTTTTTCTTGGCTTCTTCATAGCAAGCTGCACCCTGTGACTCAATTTCTACAAAAGCTTTCATGGTCTAAAGGAAGCACATGCGAGAAGAGCACAGCAAGCCAGTACTGTGTCTTTGACTCCAGGCAGCAGGATGGATTTCTCTCTCACAACAGGTCTCCCGTTTAGAAACAAACAAACAAAAAAACCCCACCACACAAGATGACACATGCTGTTATATACAACTAAAATATAGGCAGTAGGTTTGTAAAGATAATGGTTTTAATCCCTTCAGGGTTAGGACAATTGTCAGCGTTGTATCTTCTGACAGTCCTTGAAATAATTTTTAAAAGCTGCTACTAAAACACTCAGCAAATTCGTAAGAACTAACAATAATATCTGCCTTAGATACACCAAAAAAATTCGACAAATTTTGACATTTACCCATTTCCTAACCAAAAGCTTGCTATTCCCAGTAACACAGCATGCCTTTGCTAAACTGTACTTTTACAACCTGTTTTGCTAACAGACTACAGCAAATTAATTCGTACGACAGCACTACAATGAACTGGTTCTGCTACCAAAATATCGATCAGATCAAAAGTGTTCTTTGATGCCCAGAAACAAACGCAACGAGGACAAACTGAGCGCAACAGAAGAGGCTGAAGTGTGCAGTTATTTTAATTAACCGCATCATTCAAGCACACTAGGAAGCAAACTCACTTCAACCACTTCAGCAGCACGAGTATTTTGCTTCATTGAATACTTTCATAAATTTCATGAACAATTTTTGAATAGTTCTCTAGTGAATCACTAGGGACCCACATCAGCTATACAAATCACACGAAGACTAGAGAACTTGCCATTCAGACACCCTTTCGCAAGCTTACGAAGAAGGCAGCACTTCAGCTTTCTTCGAAAAAAAGAGGCGGGAGAACTGTCATAATAAAATCATTTCAACAACTCCATCCTGGGCAACTTATTTATATGGAGGAAGGGTAACTAGTGTTTTCTGCGAGAGCCCCCAGCTCCGAGGGGCCGCCAAAAAAACAAGACTCAGAGGAAAGACAAGGAACACACGACTACAGCTGGGATGTTCTACAGCTTCCGCACCGACGCGTCTTGTCGGCTCAATTTAAGAAAGTTTGGCTTGTTGCCTCGTAAAAAATTATCTACAAGATTATATAGGACTTGTTCCTCGCACTC